GGCTAATCCAAGCTGCTGTATTCTACTGGCCACTGTGGGCTAGGTCCAGACTGCGACTATTGCAGGCCGTTCGTCTTATTGAGTACGCGACGACCACTGCAGCAGTCCGGACTGCTGCTGAGATAGGCTCAGGCGGGGTGCTATCGCGGTATTGGGCGCTGTTTGGGGTGCAGTTGCTGCGCGGAAACGTCGTGCCTTACTAGAAGCAGCAACAACTTGGGCTGGTGAAAGGGGGCACAGTGAGAGAAGGGAATGTGGTAACCTTGAGGAGTGAGACCGGGCTTGGCAACGAGGACTATGGCTGCGACTGGAGGGGGTTGGCGGGGGTACCGTTTGAGATTGGTAATCTGCACTTAGCTGCGGGTTGAAGGGTGCTACTGCACTGTCTGGCCATCATTGCGGGGCCCTCAGGCGAGTCAAGGCTTCAAGGCCCTCTCACGCGAGTCTGAGAGCACCCATCTGAGAGTCTGACTTATTCTCTTTCTGCCCTTCTCAGTCTCAGTCTAGTCTACTGGTGCCGAGAGGAAGGCGGCAGACGGGATTGCAACCTGTAGGTCCGTGCCAAGGCCTCTGTGGGAGGTTGCCCCACCGATTGCGGGAGCTCTGCCGGAACCCAGGCGGGGTTCTGGAGGCAGGGAAGTTCAAGTATACTTTCGATAACCTGTGTGATCCTTTCCCCTATGTATTATCCCTGGGCTATCTGAAATTAACTATGTGAAGCTATTACTTTTCTCTGTTGTTATGTATGACAGGACATGCACTGTGAAAGGTTTAATGAACAAGTATATATGAGAGACAAGATAACCCTTGAGTGAATTCAGACAGAACGATTTGGGGGAAGGCGGGAGGAAGGCGTTATGTATGCGTTTTGACCGGGTTAACCCAAGGCTGAGCCCCTCCGGGTGGATGTGGGCTCAGTGCTATGTTTTATTAAGGTTTGTTGATCTGAATGAGTGACTCTTATGGCTGGTCTACCCAGGTGGGATAGGATCAGTGGCTGTTTTATTTGAGGGTTTCTGAACAGGAGGATGGGCACCCCGGGTGGGGAAGGCTCAGAATCCTGGTGTTTATTCTAATGAGTTGTGGTGCGTGTTTTCTTCTGAGGGAGTAACGACATAAGACTAAGTGTACCCTAGGGTTAGGGCGGCTTAGCCATGAGCCATGAACTAAATGGTCAACCAGAGTATAAAACCTGATATATATACAATTTGAACTTATACTTCTGACAGACCGGGCGCCCTGGATGGGGAAAGTCAGTCAGTAAGTCAGGTAGAACTAAGGAAGAGAGAAAGAGATGAAGAGTAAAACAAAGGTAACTGGGCAGACTGAACGTAACCTAGGGTTAGGGCGATTCAGTTATATGCTCATGATAACACTAAGGAGCAGAGAGTTAGTATAAATCTGATTTTATTTCCCCTTTTAAACATGAGTCAGGATCGGAAGTTCCATTTATTGGAAAGTCTGTGAAAGTATTTGTACCCTATTTTATGTTGTATGGCCAACTAGGCGTACCCTAGGGTTAGGGCGGCCTAGCGATAAGCCTTTGTCGTTTAAAGTAAGTTGGACGTACCCTAGGGTTAGGGCGGTCCAGCGTTTCGGTGCTTATAACTGTTCAGGCAGATCAGGCACACCCTAGGTTTAGGGCAGCCTGATCACATTGCGTTATGTAACTTAAACTATTGTGGCTAGCTAGGCGTACCCTAGGGTTACGGCGGCCTAGTGATATGCCTTTGTCGTTGATGTGCTGTGGGTTGGACGTACCCTAGGGTTAGGGCGGTCCAACTTTTTGTCGTTTGTACTTATGTTCAGGCAAGCTAGACTCACCCCTGGGTAGGGATGGTCTAGAATGATGCCGTATGCAACTTTGTTTAAAGCAGATTGGGCACACCCTAGGGTTAGGGTATGCTATTTGTCGTCAGTTAGGCAGAAGCCAGACGTACCCTAGGGTTAGGGCGGTCTGGTCATATGCCTTATGTGTACAGTTCATGTTATGTTGGGCATACCCTAGGGTTAGGGCAGTCCAAATGTGCGTACTTTACTTGTGTACCTAGGCAGGTCAGGCATACCCTAGGGTTAGGGGCTTGTCTGACCGTATGCCATAGGAAAGGGGGATGTAAAAGGGAAGGAACTAAGCGATTTAACGAACTACTTGGACTAAATTAATGTGGGATTGTGAGAGATGTTTGGTTATGCATGTTTATGGGCTCTCACTCTGGGGCACCTCTTTGATAGTTTAGTTGCTTTAGGTGCTCGCCGAGTGCTAGAGCTATAGGCAGGTAAGATGGATGATGGGAGGGAAAGCTTGGGATAAGATAGGACTGGCTCTACTAGGAGTTAGGATCAGTGTCATCGCATAGCCTCATCAAGAGGTCGTACAAATTATCGTTGATCCTACCTTCCAAGTAGGTGTCAGAAGTTAGTCCCAAGTATAGTTATGCCTTGTCTTTTCAGTTTCAGCTTTGTATAAATTTTGGCAACCTCCTGTTCCTACGGGAAGCGCTGCCGAAATTTCTACAAATCTGAAAGTCATTTTTTGGACTCGTAGAAATTATGGAAAGGCACTTTTCCTACGGGAAGCGCTACCAAAATTTCACAGAATTTAGGGAGTAGGATTATTATTAGCTAAGAGAGACTTGACAGATTCACCCTGGATAGGGGAGATGCTGCCAAATTTTCTCAGTGACTTGGCGTTAGTGAGGGAAGCTGAACGTGAGACTGATAGAGGAGCTAGGGTACAAATTGGGGAACTATCCTCTACTTGGGTTGAACATAGTAGTGGTTCTCTTTGACCTATACTGTGATGCAGGTTTTCACATCCGATTGAAGGCTCGAATTGTTCGGCCTGATTCTACGAAGGGATCACTTGTCTATTATCACTCATAACAGGTCGGTTGCCGATTCGTCGGTTTACGACTCAACTTTCCTATTTCTCCTGCCTCTCAACCTAAGGCCTTGGACCTTGTCAGGATTTGTGTGTTTCTTTGGGTTTTCACCCAGCTTCTTTATAAATCGCCATTTCTGAAAGACTGGGTACCTTTGTTAAGGATTGATGGGGAAATGGTTGGGCTTGAGTGCATAAGGCAGGGTGTGAGCTGCAGGAGGCTGAAAAGTTGACCCCTTTAGCGCGTGTGATGTTCTTTGAATGTTGTGTATATGATTGCAGGTATGTATGAAAGAGTTTCATTTGATTTATGATTGAGTGCTTATGTTTTGAATTCAGATGGGCAAACCACACAATTGTCGTGAGAGTGTACTACCCCACAACCTGTTGTTTGGGTGAGATTGTTCTTTTCCAGCCCGATGATGTGATAATCAGAGTAAGCGTACGCTCGGGTAACCCTTATGGGGCTATGCGACCACACTCTTGTGTCCTTCTATTCTCTTTGACTTCGTGTGGTAGAAAAGTTGTCCCAAGCCTGGAAACCAAGATCCTTGTCCGGGACGTCCCAGGCCCCAGACTAATATTAAAGGTATGTTCTTCCGATAGTGTTAAAAGCATTTGTTTTTCATCCTTGTTAAGGTTATTTTGGTGGAACGGCAAAGGTTTCCGGCAGAAGGATTAGCGTGTCGCTGGTGATGCGCCAGACAACTCACCAACGCTCCGAATTCCTTCCTGCCCTATGGACCATCTTACCCCGCACCCTTTGGGGTACCTCAGGGTGCAGAAGATGGTAAGGCCCTCAGGCCGGTCCTGCGCTTGCTAAAGGTTTACCCCCTTAGCGTGCGCTTCAGCCAACGCCTGAGCATCGATAGCGACTCCATGGCTTAAAAGAGACCACTCGTGTATGGGCATCACATAGTGCGCCGACATCACGACTGCGTGCGCAAATCCGCATTGTTGGTCGGCATGCGTAGGTTCTGCGTCCGCACGGCTTTATACTAAACCATACGCGCAACACTTACCGATTTCCGCGCTCTAAAGTTATGGGTCATGCAGAGAAAGCAAAAGCACGTAATGGCCAGTAGGCCCGAGCTTCGGCCGCACGAAGCGACGCGTAGGCAGGGAACCATCCCTAATCGGCCTATGGGGCCTCGCGTACGAGTCTCCAACATCTCGAACGTCGGGCGGCCTATGGGCCTAATTTTGGACCTTAGCCGTGCGCACCCCTTCGCGTTGGCCTACCCCTTCCAGGTGGGACGACTATCAGACTATCTGCAGTTGTTTCCTCCTTAAAGTCTTCGTGGTTGGACGTTGTAGTCCGTGGTAGCCGTCAAAGTCAACCCCCTTGATTTTGGCTACCACGACAGCCCTAAAGCTGTCTACTCAACCCCTCTGCACAGGGTGCGGAAGAGGGTGTGGTCTTCAACCGCACATAGCGGTTGTCTGGCGTCGAGAGATTACCCCTCAAAGCGCCTGTCAGCCGACACTTGAGCGTCGAACACGATCCTCGAGATTATCAAGGGCCACGAGGCTACGAGTACCACATAGTACCCCATCAGCACGAATGCTTGCGTATGCCCGGATGGCTGGTTGATATGAGGAGGCCATGCGCCCACACAACTCTTATACAAAAATCCAGCATGCGATACCTATCTGAGTCTCGCGGCACAAAATTATGGGTCGGATACTGAAGGGACTAGGAGTATTGTGGTGTTGTGGCGTCGTTCATGATGTCTGTTTTGTGTATTTCCATGTGTTATGTGTGGGTAGATGTGAGTGTTATGGTGTACGCGAAGTGTGCGTGATGCGTCCTAGTCGACCGACACCAAGTCACGTTTGGGACCTCAGCCCCCGAGAACGTCGATTCGTGTGCGGGTTCGATTTCTTGGGCGTTCGACCGCGCGTAACTCCCTATGCTACAACGAACGAAAAACGCCCTCGGCTGGGCCACCTCTGCAATTACATACGAAAAGCTTTCGCATGTGGTTCAGTAGCTCGGCGGGGATACGCCCACCTAAGGGATGGTGACAACTCCCGCAGGTGGAGGAAAGCGGTACCTCGCGTGACCCTGTCCTGTCGTAGGGGCTCGCGAGAGGTACGGCTGGTGCACTCGGCCGGAGCGGCAAACGCTCTCCGCGACGAAGTCCTGCAAAATCCTGCGTGATGCGATCGGGAGGGTCCCCGTGCGGGACCGATGCGCTCGACAGCGCGTCGTCATCAAGGGGAGGGGGAGGCAAGGGAAGCGGATGGGGGAAGGCCTTGGCACGTGGTCATCCGCGCGGCGTCGCCATCTCGGTTTCGGCTTCCCGATCCCGATCCGGATCCGGCGTCCCCACGTGGTCATCCGGATCCGGACCCGACGTCGCCACGTGGTCATCCGCGCTGCGTCGCCATCCCGATCCGGATCTGGATCTGGCGTTGCCACGTGGTCATCCACGCGACGATCCCGATCCGGATCCGGATCCGGATTCGGCGTCGCCACGTGGTCATCCGCGCGGCGTCCCCATCTCGGTTTCGGCTTCCCGATCCCGATCCCGATCCAGATCCCGATTGCCACGTGGACCTGCCACGTGGCAGCGCCTACCTCCGCCGATATCGACAGCGCCGCTTCGGTGGTCATCATGGCCCTGCCACGTGGCCATCATGGAGGGATGAATCCATACGTCGATATCGAGCGATCTTCAACGAGTTGATCCATCGATATCGACGGATTGATTGATTGATTGATTGATTGATTGATTCGTGGATTGATGGGTAGATTGATTGATTGATTGATTGATTGATTGATTGATTGATTGATTGATTGATTGATTGATTGATTGATTATTCGATCGATTGGTTGACTTTCCACGTCGATCCTCTGCAGATACGGATCAATAAATCAATCAATCAATCAATTAAGACATTATTGATTGATTGATTGATCGATTGACTGAGTGATTGAGTAGGATTTCGTTAATTTTCGGAATTTTTTTTTTTGTCTTAAGGACTTTTTTTTTTTAGCGCTGATTTGCGGTTGCACTAATTAGCGTTAATCGCTCATTAATCCTATTCATCCCTAACGCGCATTCTAACCGTGATTAGGGGTAACTGCGACGAAGTGTCGTTTTCTGAAATTACGTTCTTTTCGTTTTCGCTCACGCACTTTGTTTTCAAAATATTATGTTTACTATTATGCAATATTTTGTTATGAAATCTGCTATAAATCGTCGTTTTGTGTTGCGGATTATTCCCAGTTTTCAAAACTTTTGCGCGGAATTATTTAGATAAATTTGTCGTTTGGGACTCGAAATGGAGTGACCGCTCAGAACTGATCGAATACACACACTCGACAATTGATTGATTGATTGGTTTGCTTGGTAGATATAGAGAGATAGAGAAACGCGCGCCAAACTCGAAGGTTGGGCGAACGTGACTGATCAATCAATCAATCAATCAATCGACATATAAATTGGTCGATTGTCTCTGAGTGCAACGAAAGCGACTCTCTTCTTCTTCTGCGCGCCGAAGTGGCGGCTCGATGCAGGTACACTAGATGGTCTCTCTCTCTCGAGAGGCACCCCGCACATACACACGAATACACAAGACTTTGGTCTCTTGGCTGCACATACGCATAGACAAAGACACACACACACACACACACACAGTCTTTTCACAATAGATTGATTGACTAACTGATTGATTGATTCGCCCTAACCCTTTTGGCCGACTTTTCCACCTACCCTTACCCCTCATTTTGCCCCACGTTTCCCGCCGATTTCCCCTAGTCGTTTTTGTTTTGTTCATTAACTGATAAATCAGTCAATCAATCAATCAAAATTTTTCCACCCGACATTATGTACGGATTTGAGAAAAAGACACATTAGAAAGCTAGATAG